TCGCCGGTTTTAAATTTTGTGTACATGTGGCTGCGAAGTCGATTGTGTCCTGTTCTAAGGTGTATAATAATGACTTTCTCTGGTCTTTCCATGAAATGGTAATCGTCTTGTGCTGGTTTTGGTGCTTTCTGATTGATTTGATTTTTTTTTTTTTTTTTTTGGGGGGGGGGGGGGGGGGGGGAGGGAGATAAGAGACTGGTACGTCAGGTTTTTATTTTTTTTATTTGCACTTTTGTTAGCTAGTTTATCAGCTTTTTTCATTTCCGGAAACTCCACAGTGGGATGGAATCCATTGCATAGTTAGCTTACACCGACTACCTAGTTTGGAGAGTAGTGTTTGTATACCAGTAGTTTTCCAGTTGGAGTGCCTGAAGAAATAGCACGGGTTGTAAAATATGACGTATATTTAACGGTTTTTCGGCTGCTTTTTTTTTGATGTCTTGAACTTCTGCATGATAGTTGTTGCAGTACTTTCCTGTAATTATTTTGGCTGTATATCTAGTATTTTTGGATGCTCAATCTACACTCCTGCTCCTCCATTTCCGCTTGCGTTTTCTGCTGATCCATCCGTATAGACACGAACCCACAGATTATGTGGGTATTCGTCATCAAGTAGAGCGAGGGTGGCTGTTTTACGTTGCACACTGTTTTGTTCTTCCTTGTCGAATACTCCTTTTACTTCTGTCTGGATGTGTATTGACAACTTATAATCCTCTTTCCAAGGGGTCTGATCTGGAATGGCATTCAAGAGGCTATCAGTTGCAGGCAGATCATTGGTTTGCTTGCAGAGCTGTTGGGCCTGGTGGATGAAACTGCTTCTTTTTAGTCGCCCTATTGCTAGATTTTGGAATCTTTCTTTCATAGGGTGTTCATGCATGCTAAGAAACTTTTCTGATTATATTAGTATCTTAAATTCTTTTCGTTCTGTAAATTTTGGAGTCATCGCCATCTTCTCCATCGCAGCTATATGTGTTGATTTCATCCCTTCTGTTAAGACTCTGAGCGCTTGATTTTGTACCTTGTCTAACTTTTGTAATGTGGTTTTTGTTTTTTATGACGCCTGATGTTTGTTTTGGGGAGAGGGTGAAGAGAGTGGCGCTACACTTGTCTATTTGGATGCTGACATACCATTTATCAGCCCATACAGCCATTGCATCAATAGATCTTTGTGGCAGTTGAGTGGCCACTGTTGCATATGTATTTGTGCACCATAGTACCAAGTCGTCAGCAAACATCGCAGCTTTAATACTATGGGGTAGTTCGGCAATTAGGTCGTTGATAAAGACCAGAAACAGTGTTGGGGACAGGACATCACTTTGGAGAACACCATAGCGCAGCAAGACTTTCTTGCTCCAAAGTCCGTCTTTCTGCACTCGGGCTCTTCTGTTAAACAAGTATGATTTCACCCATCTGTACATATTCCCATTCACTTTGTAGTTTCTCAGTTTCCTTATGAGACCTTCTTTCCAGACCTTGTCAAAAGCTAAGAGTCTAGCGAACGAAATCAAAAAACTAATTAGGTTCGTGATACGAAGTATCACTGCAGTTCTCACAGGGGTGCAAAATGAAACATAAATGGATGGGTTTCAATTGTTGTTTGGGTATATATGGTATATCCATATATATATATATATATATATATATATATATATATATATATAATATATATATATATATATGTGTGTGTGTGTGTGTGTGTGTGTGTGTGTGTGTGTGTGTGTGTGACTTTAAAAAAGTATATTTTATTTTTACACAGAAAGAGTGTGTGGAATGCTATGCCAACGACAATGACAGAAATGCTATCTTTATGGGTGTAACAACATTAAAACGGGACGGACAGGCAAAGTTGCTAACAGCTGATCTAATGCGGCTCTTTCATTCTGTTGATGGGTTTTGTAAATTGTTAAGAGGGTATTATTTAATATTTTCTGTTTACGATTCTAAACTGTTGAAAGAAATGTTGTGTGGATAACGTTATCAGATAAGAACGCCTTATGTCCTAGTTGTAACCTGGAAGGGTTGAAGGCGATATTGCTGATACAAACTTAATAATATACCTCAGGAAAACAATGTGTGCTAAAGTATAGTCCGTTCCACAAGTGGTTCCTAACTGTAATAATCTGTACCTCACTAAGAGTTCGCAGTAGTAGTAGTAGTAGTAGTAGTAGTAGTAGTAGTAGTAGTAGTAGTAGTAGTAGTAGTAGTAGTAGTAGTAGTAGTAGTAGTAAAAGTAGTAGTAGTAGTAGTAGTAGTAGTAGTAGTAGTAGTAGTAGTAGTAGTAGTAGTAGTAGTAGTAGTAGTAGTAGTAGTAGTAGTAGTAGTAGTAGTAGTAGTAGTTGTTGTTGTTGTTGTTGTTGTACATTTTACCCCACCAGGACATCACACAAGCGATAAACACCCAATGACACAAAGTGCCACCATGTGGATGAGGATCATCCGTTAAGAGGTCCCGGAAACTGAGTTCAGCCGTTAGGCCATATTTCAGGCCTGGCTATATGGTGGCCGGCCCTTGGTAAGAGCCAGGGTGGGGCGTCAAAATAAAGAAAAATTTATCCTACATGGGGACGATAATAATAATCATAATCACTAAGGGTTCGGTGTAAGTTGTTGAAATCTGGCATGCAACCGATCGTGTCCTTGCAAGAATTTTTTTTTTTTTTTTTTTTTTTTTTTTTAATGTAAACAAACATTTAGTTTTAATTTGCCTTACTTGCGGTACGTGAAAAAAAGAGGCACTGATTTAAAGCAAACAGCATACTTACAGTGACAGGAACTTTTCAAAGCATAAAATAGCAGACATTTCGTAAGCATTTCGGTCTCATGTAGTCATCTCCGGCGTTAATCTCCCGTGAGTTTTGATTGTCTATTGTATGCGGAATAGGCTATCAAAATAATCACACGCATCATTACAAATAGGAACCTATGTCCAAACAAACTCTATGCAAGTGTCAATTCCTGTACGTTGTATTTTTACGGTGCAAAACTGTTTGTCAAAGAAAGCACAAACTAAAAAAAAAGGGGGGGGGGGATTCGCAGCTTTATGAAAAAAGCAGCACCTTTGCAATAGTGAAATAGGAAATCATAAGAAGATTGCCAATCGAAAGCCGCATGCAAAAATATGTGTTGATTCGTACAGGAGTTTTCAAGACACCTGTTAAAGTGTGAGAGCATGGCTTCTGAAACCCATAATAGTATTTTATATAGCAATGTGCCATAATTATTAAGCTACTTCTTAGCAGGTTGAATAAGGCTTCTAGGTTTTCCCGTTGAATTGATACCACATACCCAAAATGAGACGCACGTTTTTTAAACTTTCATATAATGTTCATGAACGAACGGGATTAAAAACAAGACGGGGAGGAATTCGTGCCAATACAAACTCCCATTTTTCGTGCTTGTCTGAGAAGGTAAGACATTCCGACAATTTCCCAAAATTATGACAGTCAACCAGAATACCGTAACGGATTCATCTAAAATAAAAAAGAAATAAAAAACCCCGTGGCTGCCTCGTCAAGCCTGCCTAACATGGGTCACGTAATCTGTCTTGAGAAGCAAAGGCTATAATCGCGATGTTGACTACATCACCCATAGAATGCCAGTTGGTCTATACAAATGTTAAATCTAGCATTATATGCCCGAATCAACTGATATATATCCTTTGCTTTTGCTTTACACTAACATTTTTTTCAGCATGTTTTTTAACTGACAGGGACCCCTGAGTCGATGCAGCCTAAAACTGGTTGTTTGCTATGTTTTTTTAAATATTTTTTTTTTTTTTTCAAAGAAATAAAAAAAAAAAAAGGTGCTATCTGAAAAATGTATTTTACAGAAGGATTCAAAGAATGGTGCCTATAATAAGGCCAGATTTAAAAAAAAAAATGATAGTAGGAAAGATTCTTGGAAGAAAAAACGGCCTAGCCATATCGATCAGCCAGTCTAGATAGGTCGTTGAAAATATGGGGCTAGCATCAACTTCGACGATACGTCTCCAGTGAAACAAAAATATTCAAGTTACCTTATCGTGCTTCTTTCTTGTAAATATTTTCCGCAGCTGACTTTGGAACCGACGAGGGAAAAGTGGGGGTTTTGAACACAATGTTTGCGATTAATCATCAACCGTGATGCATGCAAGTGAATCATGGACAGCATTATACAGGCCTAAGTGAAAAATTATGTGCACGCTTTTTCATGAAATTTGAAATATTCTCGCCACAAATTCATTGATGACAGTGGGAGCAGGATTTTATCTAAATTATTTTTGTATCTGCTGATAGAGACCGAGCATCAGTATGAGCGTCCCCAATGTAACGTTATCAATAAACTAAAAACCTCTTGATTGTTAACGCAGTTTCACAATATCAACTTACTGGGGTTCGATGTCCGCTGCAGTTGTTTGGGTAGCTGATCGCCTTGTGTGGCGGGCCCTGAATTGGATTTTTTGTTTTTGAATAATAATAAGGCACCGTTATTCGGAAGAGTGCCCAATTGCCTACTAAAATCTCAAACTCCAATAAATGAAGGGGTTGCTTTATTAATTGCTGAGAGAGAGAGAGAGAGAGAGAGAGAGAGAGAGAGAGAGAGAGAGAGAGAGAGAGAGAGAGGAGAGAAATATACAGGCCTGTTAGTTTTTGTGTTTTATCTTCTCCTTCGCGTTCACTAATTGTAAACTCCGGCGGAAAGTTCTGGTTGTCACTCCTCTTGTGGACTTTAGTCTCGTTCTAGAAGCTGTGTACAAACCGATCAGACTTATTTGTATGCAGACTGTTGATTCCTTGCCCCTCAGGCAGATGCATTTCGACTTCGCAGGAAGTCCTCAGTTAATCCACTCTTATGACATGCTTGTTGGAAAGGTGGTTGGTCTATTCTTGTTCACCTGAACACCAACGGTGAGTTCTGACTTTTGACATAAACATTTTGAGAACCGCTGGTAGTCTGTCCGGGCGTGTAGTGGGGCAGATTGAACACGGACAGGTCGCTATCAGTAACAGATTGGCCTGGCCATGTTCTTCAGGTTGTTGTCGCCCAGCGCCTTGCTGATAACAGGCACGCAGATCGTTGTTCAACATTCTAGTCGAATATTTTCGAGAAGCTTCACGACAATAATGGTAGGTAGTGATAACTGAATATAGCGACTTTCAAAGGACCTTTAAATTTAAAGCTTCAGCGTCCCCAGCTTGTTTGTTTTTCAGTTTTTGATTATTTTTATAATTATTATTATTGTCAATGTCAATTATAACATAACAATCCGAACACGCGTTGTATGCTCTTGTATAAATGTATGACAGTTATCAGTTATAGTTATGTAATTAAAATTTTGAATTACAGTGGTAAATACTGAGCTTAAATATCAGAAAACCCAGTAAATAGTTAGTAATACTAAGACATAGACGTAGTAGTAAAATTGAGTTGTATAGTTTTATGTCTGAGTTAATTACTATTACTGACTGTAACGTAACTGAAACTGTAAACTCCGTTGGAAGAAAGTTATGGCTTATTTGTTTGCAGACTGTTGGTTCAATAATAGCAGATGTACTTCGATTTAAAAAGAAACACCTCTAAACCAATTATTATTTGACTTTTAAGACACACTTGTTTTGCTAGAGCAGTCAGTCCACCCCCCCCCCCCCTGTCCCCCACTTTTCCCCTGGCCAATGGGGCCATAGGTGGTTTGTAAACATGGTATTGATGTCAATCATGATGATGCAGTACACATTAATCAATTGATAGTGTATTATGTTTTTCAACAGCTAATCTCAAACACACCTTAACCCAGGGGGTTTAGCATCAGATGCCTAGGGGTGGTTCTGCCATTTTGAACATTCACAAGTGTTACACATTAAAACAGACCATACTAATTCAACTGCTGCTCAACATGGCTATCCTCCGAATATCGAGTGGTAAAGATGGTGGCCGTAAAATATCCTGACGACACGTGACTGTGGCTCCTCAGGATATTTTGCGGCCGCCATCTTTACCGCCCGTTATTTGGAGGATAGCCAAATACTGCTAAAAAATAAATTGTGTTGGTAGCTTATTGTTAGTAAATAAACAAATGGTATGTTTAGAGAAATTAGGAAAAAAAAAATAATTTTCTACTTATCACCATGGCAAGAAAAACTCGATAAAATCTATAAAGAATCAACCACAGATGAATATGAGCCACTTAGTAATGTATTTTTTAAAAAAATATAAACACAATCTGTCAGTTAGATCTCGTTCCAGAAAAACTGTTAAAACATCATAACAGAGCACCATGACCTCGGAAAGCAGTAAAAATTTTCAACAACAAAAATTAACTTTATATAACAGTCAGTTTGCCAGTAATTTTATATCATATATTCCCACATAAAAAGGAAATCGCACTAGACCTAACTGATGCTGAAGAATATTACCCTTTTCCCTAATATTTATTTATTCTTTTATGTTACCATTGTAGGCTTTGTGTCAGGTACGAGGGGAAGTCAATAAGTAAGTTACAAATGATTATGGGATGGCAGGAAAATATAGTGGATGGTTTCTAAAGGTGTCATTAGGTGACAGCAACATTAAACTTTATGTCTCTGTTTGTAAGGTGGCGCTAGTTGTTGCATGCTCATTTGCAGCACAGAAACAAAATGGTGACTGTACTCTCAAAGAGCAACATGCTGTTATGCATTGGGGGGGGGGGGGGGGGCAGCAAAAGGGCTGCCTGCAAAGAACATTCATATGGAAATGCCTACTGTTTATGCCTACAAATGTTTATCCCATAAAGCGGTGCATAGCTGGGTTTAAAAAAAAATGTTTCTCAAGGACACTCGGCGTCCAGGCCTGCTGACTAGAGGGCTACTTCTCCTTCATGACAATGCCAGGTTACATACGGCTCGGTTAACTGAGGAGAAAATCAACCATCTAGGGTGGGAACTTCTGGAACATCCACCTTACAGCCCCAACTTAGCCCCTAGCGATTTCCACTTTTTGGACCACTGAAAACCCACCTTGGCGAGGGGACATTTTACGAATTACTAAGAAGTTGAATGTGAAGTGAAAATGTGATTTAGAAAATAATGTACGCAGCTCTGTGCAGCAGGTTTGGGAGGACTGATAAAACGATGGAACAAGTGCATCAATATTTGTGGAAATTATGTTGAAAAATAAAGGGACTGTGTATGTGAAAAAATTAATGGTTTTCAAGTTGTTGTCTTTATTTTTTTCTTGTTTTAAATAACCATTTTTGACTTACTTATTTACTTACCCTTATATATATTAGAGCTATCCCTCATCAAAGTTTGACTCTATCAGTGACTGAAACAAGTCTGCTTCTTAACTTTCTAGCTTCGAATAAATCTAAAAAGTGTGTGGTTTATTTAAACATGAGGCTTCTAAAGTCATAAATCTTGTTCACCTGCATGAAAAAGTCTGCTTGCAGGCCATATTGTTTTTACATAGACAGTAACTCGGTAAAGCTTACAAACATGCTAAATGTTACGCCTATAACTACATTTTGAATATGCCTAATAGTAAACATATGTGAAATCAGACACAAAGAACTGGCAGGAAATACCATTCAAAACTGTCAGTTTACGTTGTTATATTGGCCAGTTGTAAATTAAAAACCTGGATGTGTCACCCGCTGATTGGCTGTCTAGGTAGCAACTGCTTGGCATGTGATGAATTCCTTGGGACCCGGAGTTAAAATGGATGGGTACAACTTATTTCTTTTTTAACAGCAGTGAACACTTTTCTTGAAGCCACATAAATGTTGTTTTGAACAGAGCATGAATGTCATTGATGATATTGTTATGAGGATGTTACAGATAACAGTATCAAAAAGAGGGAGTGAGTATGTTTGTGACTTTATGGGGGGAAAAGCTGTAATATTTTGTGACATCTGGAGAGATTATTTATAAAAAACAAAGACAGATGAAGACAGGTTTAGAAATATAAAACAGTAACCTTCTTTATTCTGTATATATATATATATGTGTGTGTTTATAAAACATTTTATTCTGTCCCTGTATTGTTGTGTGATACAAAAGTCCATTTATTGTCTCAGACCTTCTATAAATTATCATAACTTTTGCTCCTCTTCATTGCCTCCTCTGTGTTTATGATTGCCCCTCAAATATTTACATTTATTGGCTTGGTTTAGTTTTTCCTTGCAGTTGTAACTAGAGATGTACCGAATATTTGCTTCGGGGCCGAATAGTGGAACTAATAACTATTCGGTATTTGGCCGAATAGTTGCGGTCGGGCCGAATATGAATAGTGGTTACCTTAAACTTTTGCTCCTCTTCATTGCCTCCTCTGTGTTTATGATTGCCCCTCAAATATTTACATTTATTGGCTTGGTTTAGTTTTTCCTTGCAGTTGTAACTAGAGATGTACCGAATATTCGCTTCGGGGCCGAATAGTGGACCTAATAACTATTCGGTATTTGGCCGAATACGAATAGTGGTTACCTTAAACTTTTGCTCCTCTTCATTGCCTCCTCTGTGTTTATGATTGCCCCTCAAATATTTACATTTATTGGCTTGGTTTAGTTTTTCCTTGCAGTTGTAACTAGAGATGTACCGAATATTCGCTTCGGGGCCGAATAGTGGACCTAATAACTATTCGGTATTCGGCCGAATAGTTGCGGTCGGGCCGAATACGAATAGTGGTTACCTTACACCCGTTTCGTGACTGGTGGAAAATGAACATATCAAAATTTCCCACCTTGGTTCATACTGTCAAGCGTTATCTTTATGCACCACCTACGAGCGTACCAAGTGAACATCTGTTTAGTACAGCTGGAAATACCTTCAGTGAGACAAGAAGCTGCCTAAATGCTGACAACATAGAAAAAAATTTTTTAAAGCTAATGCCGCTTTCATGGATCAACTAAGCTGTCAGTGACAATTTACAAGTTTAGTTACTTGTTATAAAACTAAGAATACTTTCATTTTTAGGTATTAGTTACCACAGACTGACTGACTGAAGAATGCAAAATATGAAATGTTTACTATTCTGTACTACATTTTGTGAAGTACAATTTCAGCGTACATTTGACATTATGGTTTTTTTTTTAGATCTAATTTATACACTATTCGAAAGTGGAAGTATGGGCCTCAGTTTGAATAGTGGGAAGACAGAAGTAATGGTGGTATCAAAGAAAAAAATTATTCTTAAATGTGTAATAAAAGTCAATAGTTTTATTTTGGGACAAGTACAGAAATTTAAGTGTCTGGACACATGGATAACATCAGATGGAAAATGCATTACTGAAATAAGAAATAGAATAGGACAGGCAAAAACTGCATTTAATACAATGAAGAACATCTTATGCAATATATCTTTGTCATTGAAGATTATAAAATAAATTCTTGCTTGCTACATACATCCAGTTTTAACATATGGCTGTGAGTCCTGGACAATCGGTAGGCAGGCCAAACAATTTCTTGAGGCCTCAGAGATTTGGTTTTACATACCTTGGACAGAACCCCCAAAAAAATGCAACCAAGAGGTTTTGCAAGAGGCAAGAGCCCGAAGACAACTATTCACAGACATCAGAAGGAGACAGTCATCATTTTTCGGCCATGTTATAAGATGAGGGAAAATGGAACATGTGGTGACCACTAGAAAGATATGTGGAAGGAGGTATAGAGGAAGACAACAAGAGAAGATTGTTGACAGTCTTGTTGCATGACATTGAGGTGTGTCGGCACACGAACTGATACGCTGCAGGAGATCGCAGACTGTGGCAAGGCATAATCACCCATGCCGGTCAGCAAAGCACCTGATGATGATGATGATTCACTATTCGCATTTGGTCGAATAGTTGGTCCAGCTATTCGCATTCGGCCGAATAGTAAAAATCACTATTCGGTACAGCCCTAGTTGTAACACCATGTTTTGGTGTTTTGTTTCTCATTTCTTGATATATAAGGTGAATTCAATTTTTTTCCACACTCTGTATTCCTGCACTATCCAAAAGCTTTTGCACTTCTGTTATGGCTTAGAAAAAAAAACAAAAAACTAATGAATTCATTTATAGTTTTATGGGGATAACCTTGATGAAATATTAGTCATCCATCATCTTGCTATCTGAAGGTTGTGAGTTCAGGTTTGGTCTGTGTTGTGAGTGCATGATTCCTGAGGATTGTTGCTGAATCTGTGGGGTGTATACTTTGTGCAGTGTTCTAGGAGGGCAACCAGCCGTTGTGCAGAGTTCTAGGCAGGCAATCAGCCATTGTGTAGAGACAAACCGAGCCAGATGTGATAAAAACTGGTGCAGTGAGATCAATTCTCCTGTCTTTGAAATACCTGCTATACACACTGTTGGATTATAAGACCCCATTACCCATTCCTATTGTCGTTCACTTGATTTTAAAAAAACATTGACACAACCCAGCTTGTTATCACTGTCACGTGCATACAGTTTGCCATGTTTCAAGAAGTAATTAGTACTTTGATTCTTAACCCAAAATAAACATTATTTTCATTAATTATTTCTGGATATATTTTGTGATACGGCAGTGCTGAATGGTCTAGCGTAATATGTTCATTGTCTTACTGGCATTAAAACAGACCATTATTTTTACACTTATTGAAAGAATTTTATAACTACCATATTTTGGAATTTGATCTACTGTCATTTTATCAAGGCAGTCACTGGTTTCACTGACCTCCTGGTATAGTACAGACTTTAAAGAGGCACAGAAGTCTTGCTTAGAATATTTTGTCTGCTATCAGGACAACCTTTTTTTCTGTTGGTGCGACTTTGACTAAATACAAGGAAGAAAACAGCTATTTTTATTAGAACATCTTAGGGTTCATGTAGAGAAAATCAACTGGGTGCTAAGTAAAGTAAACTAAATAGGGGCCATCAAGACAGAACTGTTTAGCTAGTTGCCTCACACCCTAAAATTTGTGGTCTGCATTTTGTTTCTACATCATTTTTTTTTTTCATGAGTACAAGATTTCCGAAGATTTTTGGGGATTTCTCTCAAGCTTAGGATTTTATGTTATTTGCAGTATATATATATATCAGGTAGAGCTGATATCATCAACACTGTATGGACTAGGTTGGGGGATAATGGCCAATATCTTAGCTAACAGGATTGTGTGACCGTGGAGTTGAGCTTGGTTAACCACATCTATGTCATCTTTGAGGTAAAGACAGGAGATACTATAACCATCTTCTCTTGAGAACAATTAGTAGAGGTATCTTGGAGTGGCTGCTGTATCAGAGTACTAAGCACACAAGGGGATGCCCAATGTGCAGAGACAGTGATTGTGATTTGTCAGGTGACCAGCCTCTTTGCAGTGAGAGACTGAGCCGTATGGAATAAAACCCGGTGCAATTAAATAATCCTTGCATCTTTAATGGCCCTTAGAAGCTCAGTTGTTGTGAAAAAGATTTCACTTATTTTGACAAATTTAGAATTGCAGTACACATTCTTTCACTCGTTTTAAACAGTAGAAATTGTAATGCATTATAATCTTTGTATTATCACACCACTTGATTGATCACTGTATGCTATTGTACCATGTTTTGAACAAACATTGACAGCATAACATTGTGTGCCATACAATACATAGGTTTTTTTGTGCAGGCTTAATAAGAAGTATCTTTCTAGCACCATCTTCTTCAATCTTTGGGGTTTGGTCTTCTCGGATTTTCACATAAACTAGTTATTTTATTATGTGGCTATCCCTTTCACTCATGGCTGTCCCTTCTCTGACTCTAAAATAAAGCCAGGTAGCTCTTGTATAACAGATGATATTTGAATACACTTGCATGGTCTGGTGTCTAAACCAATACCCAGATCACATGGTCGTAAACATCAAGTTGTATAATGGCTGAGGTGATTTACTGCTCTTTTCCCTTCAGACAGGCATAGCATCAGCCATTGTGTGAGACAGAAAAGTTATTGATTTATGTATTTACAGTATAAGATGATGATCTTTATTGTTGTATTTTAATGTTCAGCTTAAAATATTTTTTTAATTGATTTTTTATGTTTGCAAAAGGGTTGGATTGTGAGAAAGTGTAGTGTAAAGTTGAGTGGGTTGTAGCAGCATTGTTAGAAACAGTCTGTGCATACTCATGTGTGGATGTACAGGCTTATACTGAAATGCTAACGCCTCTGATCTAGGGACTGTAAACACATTTTAACAATCCTGACATAATGGGGTTTATTTCCTAACATACAGATTGTTGTTGATTTTGACAGTGGACCATTCGGACTGCAGTGAAAAGATACTGAATGTAAAGATTGCCTTCTAAAACCACACATATCCTGTAAATGCAGGGGTTGGCTTGCAACTCGCTGAAGAGGATATGCAATTGACGTTTTTTTTTAACTAGAATATCAAATATGTCAAACAATGGGCTTGTTAAAGTTCATACTGTAGGCTGTTTTAAAATTGAAACAGTATTCAGGAAGCTGCACATCCATTTACAGATCTGACTCATTTTTATGCAGACTGTTGGTTTCTTGTCTGTGAGTTGGATGCATTTTGCCTTTGAAGGAAACTCCCAATTAGTTGACTCTTACGACATGCTTTTTGGTAAACAGTGGGCCTGTTCTTGTTCCCCCCCCCCCCCCCCCCCCCAAATGGGGCCCCGAGATACACAGGGGAAAGCAATTGTATTTAAGTCTGTTATGTGACCAAACCATTCTGATAGATGCTCTGCATTGTTATGCTGAACCTAAATATAAAATGGGAAGTTTTCTATCTGTGCAGCGCTCTGTTCCAAGAAGATGAATGCTGCTTGATTTTAACCTTCTTCTTCTACTTCATTTTCTGTCTTTTTATCTCACAGTAGACCATTCAGCTAAACATACGCAGGGGCTAAAATGATGGAAAATATGAATCATTGTGGGCCAGTAGCCTGAACCTCAGCATAAAAAGATCAGTACAGTTACCAGGTTATCTGCAGGCCACTTGTTTGGCTTCCGCGGGTCAACTGGCGGCCAGTTGAATAACCCTGGCATAGTCTCTTAACCGTCTCACAAATCCTTTGTTGACCTGACTTTTGCAGCTAAAACTTCAAGTGAGACATATAGTCAGGCTCGTCATAACCCTCCTATGTAACCTTTTACAATATTGTAGTTATAACTATTCTGTGCTTCCCTTATGAGCATTAATAAAACGTGTGTGTGTTGTCATCAACTGCTTGATTAATAATGACACATTGTTGAGATAGAGGAATGTCAATTAGTGTGTCACTCAGCAACCGTGCTTGATGGAGAAATTGAACAATCAAATTTAGGTTTAGGAGAGATCTGTTCCATTCAGTGACAGTCGGATAAGTTTGATTTACTGTGATCATCAAGTTTTTTTTTTTCATTATGGCTGAATAAGTCACAAATATATTATATACTTTATGGAAGGTTTCTGGGGTGGAAAGGGGAGGGGGAAGGTAGCCTAACAGGCCCTAAAAGGCAACTAATTGAAGAGTGCTAAAGTTGGATGTGTTGGGCTGAAAGTCACAGATATTACAGCCTAGGTGTGACTTACACCAGTGTTCCTCAACCTTTGTACACCTGCAGCCAACCAAAACAAGGAAACTTGTTTTGTAACCCATCTGACAGCTAACCAAACACAGAAACAAAAATAAACATAGGTTGTTGTTTTGTTAAATTCATTGTCACAAAATTAAAATATTCGGCTGATGCAACTGCTCGGAAGTTAGAAAATCTATGCAGTTGAACAGGCACTGGGATTTGTTCCTATTTTATTTTCTTATATTTAAACCCTGCAGACTGCAATCCTGGAAGAAAAAAAAACACTATCTACCCTGTCCCAGTACATCGTTAGGTAAACATTGTTTTGGCAGCCTGCATGGATCCCAGTGGGCGATGACGGACCAGTTGAAAAACACTGGTTTACACTATGACCTGTGCCAACCAGCCCGTTTATAGGTGAATGCAGCAGAAAGAATTGAAAGTTGCTAAGTTGCAATAATCATTTATGTTTAGGTTTACACAAAACATACCTTTTTCTTCTTCACATTACAGTAAGCTCTGGCCTTTTACAACATGTATCTCATGGATGTAGTGGGTCTATTTTTTGTTTGTCTTAAATGGGGCTCTGGAACCCATACACAGAGAACAAAATATTTGTTTCCATGAAATTCACAAACATGTTTTCCTGGGTGATGATGAGTTATCTGTGTAACACCAGGATAATGAGCAGGTAAAGAAAAGCAACGCTGTAACATGATGTACATGTCAGAGTTGAGGGTTTGTGTGAGATTGGCTGCCTCTGCCATAGAAAACTGCTTAGCAAAACCTTATCATTCATGAACAAATTCTACAAAGGGCTTGGCATGAGTTGTTTATGGACTATGCTGTTTTGGGAAACAGAAGGCAGAGGAAAATAGCTATGATGAACACTCACTAGTTCAATTACTGACTGCGTTGTTATTCTAGTTTATGCATCTTAAAATAACTATTTTTATATTTATCTTCATGGTAGGCTGAAGGTGATGACAATAAGTGGAAGGAGGCTAAGACAATTTATGAATTCAATGCTTTGGATATTGATGGCAATGATGTATCCCTTGAGAAATACAGGTAAGTACTAGACTGATAGATATACATAAGTAGCGATGTTATTTCTTGACAGTCTTGTTGCATGGCATAGATATGTGTCAGCACACGAACTGATACATGCTGCAGGAGATCGTGGATTGAGGAGAGGCATGGTTGCCCACACCTGTCTGCAAGGCACCTGATGATGAGCAGTGTTATTTAATATTTTTTTTTTTTACCAGCTAAAAATATGTGTAGATTACACAGGAACTCACCTGCATTGATTTTATCAGATGTGCCCTTACAAGGTGTTAAAATTCTGCTGAAATCTGGACAAAGTCCTGGTTTGTGAAACATTAACTTCAGAGCAGTTATGGCTCTTTATCAAGATATCCAGTGCTCAGTAAGAACAACAGAAGGAATGACAGACCGGTTTCCCATCTCATCAGGTGTCAGACAGGGATGTGTCCTCTCACTATTGCTACTCATTACTCACATGGAGAGAATTATACATGAGGCAGATACAGATACTGAAGAAATCAATTAACTTCTTTTTGCAGACAATCAATATCTAATACACAACCAAGAACAGAATTTACAACACCATATTGATTCCTTACATCAAACCTGCACAGAGTGTTTTATGAGAGTAAACACCTCAAAAACTGAGGTAATTAGAATAGGCAGAAAATACAATGAACGTCCATGTTAACGATAATACAAGTACAAGAATACAAATAACTGGGAAGCATATTTATAGAGGATGGCAGATTGGATAGGAAAGATGGAAGCCAAAATACTGGCATATCGAGTCGGCAGCAGTCAGTTTGGTAGCAGACTGCTTTTTGACAATAGGTTATGAGTGCAATACCATTAAAAAAAATAGTGGCAAACAACTGAACACAAAATTGCGTTGTGAAACCACAAAACAGAACAAATTCTGTCTTGTAACTAAGGGCTATAAATACCAATTTAACCCTTGGAGGTATAAATTACTGTAGCATTACACAAGCATTAGAATAGAGCTGATACAAAATTGACATTTGTCTAACGTAACCAAGTGACACATGGTGAGATAATGTTTTGTTTCCTCCATTTCTTACATTCAGAGGTAAAGTCTGTATCATAGTCAATGTGGCCTGCAAGTGTGGTTTTACTAACAAAAACTACACACAGCTGCAGGACTTTTACACCAAATATGCAGACAAGGGACTGGCCATTTTAGCATTTCCAAGTAACCAGTTTGCTGGACAGGTCAGTATTTCAGACATTGAATTTTTTTTTTTTTTAGGTGTGTCTTAATTGCCTTTTTTTTTCCACATTTTATCACAGCAGCCTGGATGCTACATAGATTCGGTTTTAACATTGATGTTAATTCTGTACAATTAGTGAACAAGTTAGAAAAACCCTCGAGGCCTTAAAGATGTGGATTTACAAAAGAATGTTTAAAACTCAATGGATAGTCAAACTGAGATGTTTTGATAGAGGTTAAGACCTGAAGACAACTTATCACAAACATCAGAAAGAGACAGATATATTTTGTTTAGGCCTCACATTATGAGAAAATAAAAACTGGAACAAGTTGTAACACAGCAGTTCTCAACCTGTGGGTACATTTTTTGGGTTGAACTACCCTTTCACAGGGGTCGCCAAAGACCATCTAAAAACATATATTCATTGAAGTTATGAAGTAGCAATGCAAAAAATTTTGTGGTTCGGGGTCACCACAACATGAGGAACTGTATTAAAGGGTCGCGGCATTAGAAAGGCTGAGAATCACTGTGTAACAGCTGGAAAGATTTGTGGAAAGAAATAAAGAAAGACAAGAGACAATTTTTAACAGCCGTTGTCATGTCAGAATTATGTCAAACTGGACCTTGGCTGCCAGACTGACCCAGCCTAAAATGGGTACCAAGCTAATGTCCTGTAAAGTAAAAGTGGTTGGCGTGATGTTGACCATTGATTGCTGGTTAGTCTATAAACACTGTCTAGCACCAGGTACCTGGTCACCATTGACAGTAATTAAAAGTCTTACTTTGGAATTTTCTGTTGAGTAATTACCGTCCTTTTTAGGATGACATTTTTCGTTATTTGAAGCCCCACTCTAGGTCTTGCCAGGGGCCGCAATATAGCCATAAATATGGCCAATTGGCTGAACGCGGTTTATGGGACCTCTCCATGGTCATCCTCATCTGCATGGTGGCACTTTGTGTCATTGGATGTTTATCGCTTGTGTGATGTCTTGGTGGGGTCAAAAGTCAGTCAGTCAGGTACCTGTTGTGCCAGGTGTGAAAAGGTGTCCTTTACTTACTTTTCTCATGGCATTGAAGAATTTCGATGCATGGTACTGGGGATAGGAAGTTATGGACGAACATGATATAAAAGACAAATTATGTTGGTATTGTGTTTGTGACTGCTAGATTTGTCACTTTCTGTAGAAGTACTAAATCATTTCAAATGGAACTGATCTACTTCCATCTGCATAGGTTTGATTTCTAGGCAGAAACCAGGATACCAAGATTCCAGATTCAGAAAAGAGCGTTGTGGACTTGGAGGACATCTCCAATGAATCGATATCAAAGACTATTTTACATTTGGCTGTGCAGCACCAAAGTAAATGCAAGAGCACCTCCTACAAGACTGCCAAGAATTTGCTACACAGTGTAAATAGGGCCATGGGAGCAGCTCTACTGAAACATCATGGGAGGACATTGAAATCTCAGACTCACCTTTCTGCATATGACCCATGCCATAATAACCACAGAAAATGTTGAAAATGTCTGCTTGCAAACTTTATCCATTCTTGTTCTCGAAATAATGCCTCCCTAGTATCTCATTTCTGAGGTCACTGTAAATTGTTGGGTTGTGATCATTGTGACTTCAGTCATATATCATGATTGCCTTTAAATAAGGAAAAGTACACTTTGAAAGCGGCTGGTGTTTACATATATTATTTCAAGTTTCAAAATAATAAAGTGTGACTGCATCTTTTAGTCTGTTTGTTAGTTAATATGTTAAGTTCAGATTATTATGTTTGGTGATATATGTCTATGTTTTTGTCTTTTCTGTTTACATTTCAGGAGCCTGGGTCCAATGAAGAGATCAAGAAGTTTGTTAATGATACTTTTGGTGCCAAGTTTGACTTGTTCAGCAAGATTGAAGTTAATGGAAAGAATGCTCACCCATTATTTAAATTCCTCAAAAAGGAACAGAAAGGGACTTTTGGAGAGTAAGTTGATACACACACAGAAAATGTAAAGGAGGCTAACTGTCACAAAGAAAAGAGTAATAAATCAGAAAGTTGTGATTTCTTTATTTTAAATGTTCTCTGTGTGTGGTAGCCAACAAGTTGTATACACAGTAATTGTCCACCAGTGAAGTGCAAAAGAATTTTCACAAAGGCTACTTGTTTTAAAACATCATCATTATGTCACATATTCCGCCATATTTAATTTGAATGATGGCAGTGACACTGGACACTTTGGATAACAACACAAGCAGCAAATCACAGCACTAATAGTGTCTGGAGGCTTTGATCGATCACCTGTAGTAACTTAGTTCTTCTTCTAACTCAAGCCTGAGTCTGAAGAATCTTGGCACAGTACATGAAATCTGTTGCACCAACAGGGATCCTGAATTACTATTGGGTGTGGGGGTAGATTTTTAACTCCAAATTTTTGCCCGGGCAGCGACATTAAGCTACTCTTTAGGTTTCCAACTGCCAAGGGATTTTTTACGTGCACAGCAATACACATTGGCATCAGATCTAATTACTCGGAGACCAGGGGAAATTACTTGAAGTCCACGTGAACAGAAAAAAGCACTTTCTTTTCGGGCATCATCCCATTTACTTGCTGTTCTCACATTTTGGTCAAGGTTGCTAATGAACATTCATCACTTGATTTGTGTGTTCTGCCTCTGAGGGCATTTAGTATATCAGCTAAGTGCATTGCCCCAATGATTGTATTAGTAACATCACAAGGTATTTGTTGGCACTTTTTCAGAGATAGTGTTGTATTGTTCTATAGGAAGGCTTAGGGATCACAGCCCTTCATGATGACAGGTAATTAACAAGACCCAGTTGCGTGCACAGGGTTGCAGGACCATTGTAGCAGTCACATATATCTAGTGTGTCTTCTCACATGCTCAGCTCTTAACCAACCTGCAATCATTTTCTCATGTATACAAATTCCCTTCCTGATTCCTGCCTCCATGCACCATGATCCACAGCATCCTATTATGACAAATCCACCTCATTGCCTTTATTATTCATGTCCTGCTTACACACATATTTATATCTAGTAGAGGCCGACCTCAACATCTTCTCCCCACCTACAGAATGTTCTTAAGAATGCTACCACCCGTCAGGTTTCTCCTAGACATTTACAAATGCATAGAAGCAAGAATTAGACTTGAATGAAAAATGTGGGAAAGACATGGAGTCAGCTGTAGCAGATGCCAAAATATAGAACAACTTAGCTGGAGATACTGCAGGCCTGTGCTCTAATGAGAGATCAAGAAGAATGCTGATACCATGTTTGTTTGTGCATGACCTCCTGACTTGTAAACTTTTACATTTGCAAAGACCACATGAACACAGAAAACAATAGGCCCAAGAGGTGAATGGGAAGAAAACAGTAAATACATTAATTATTTATCGCTGGTTTTGATAAAATACAATCTGATCTCCATGAGTGCCACATACATGTGTAAAGTTTATTACATATTTTATATGTATAATTTAAGTCGTTTGTATTGTTTCATATTTTTCAGTTTTATCAAGTGGAACTTCACAAAGTTTCTGATCAACAGAGAAGGTAAACCAGTGAGCAGGTATTCTCCAAGTACAGATCCTTATGTAAGTTATGTTTTACTTTTGTTGGGTTAGACCTGTGTCAGTGAAACTAAGCTTCATATACTGTACAAATTTAATTGAGAGTTTGTATCATTAACAATAAGCACATATGACAGCAGTTGGAGAAACATCAGATTGATTTCAAGTGCAGAAGGGGGAGAGGCAGGGATGCAATCTCTGATCATACCTATTCAATATATATGTAGAAAACAATGAGAAATTTAACCAAAAAAATGATCAGCCTTGTGACAGTTATGATTCACTCATAAGTGGCAGCAACTCTGTTCTGGAACTTTGCTGCTATTCAGAGGACACACCTGCTTTCAAGCAATGTAAAGGGGATAGAAAATTTAATCATGGCTGTCCACAAATTAAGTAACGATCAAAACATGTTCTTGAATTTAAAGAAAACAAAATAATATTCACATACAAAACTTCCTGTCACCTAGAAATAACAATAAATGATAAAGAAATAGAAATAGAAAAAGTCAAAAACTTTATATCCAGGGTCCATAATAAACTGTAACGAAGAATGTTCAACAGAGGTCAAAAGGAGGATGGCCAATGCAATAGGGAGATTAAACAGCATTAAAAGTCTATGCTATGGTTAAGCACAAGCAAGGAAATGAATTTTATCAAAATTTTGAGGGTATGCATTTCCTTGTAGCAACATATGTAGAAGATATTCTAGTCCTTAAGAAATAAAATAGGGATTTTTGAGCTGAAATGCTATAGAAAGATTCTCAGGATACCAAAAAGATTTGAACTTTAAGGAATGTTGGCAAAAAACACACACCATCTTGCCCCGACAGCTGGAAAAATTTGGCCATATTGAGTGACATGGTGAATTGGAAAAAAATAATAGTAAACGGCATGGTGCTAGGAAGGAGGGGCTGGGGCCCACCAGCACAGGATATAAGTGACTGCTTGGGTATGAAGGTACTAAAAGCGGGGAAGTTGGTGAGATCCAAGTTTATTTCAGGCAGACCGTGATGGCAGCAACACAGTACTTCAGTGGAAATATGTCAGCTTGTGTAGAGTAACTTCATCAGAATGTAAGGTATATTGGCATAATGTCGAAAATTTTAAACTGAAGTTTCAGCCCATATGTAAATATGTTGAATTATTTCCATAGCAGATGTGTATAACATAAGACTAGGTGTATCGATGTAGGCACTAGCAAACAAGGTGTACATAAAGTATAAACCATTTAGATATGCTAGTTCATGACAGATTGTACTAAGGTTTCCCTCTGTGGGTTCTGGGGGCCCCATTTTGTGGGGGGGGGGGGGGGAGGAATAGACCTGCTCAGAGCTTTTTTTTCTGGCGATACAAATCAGTATGCTCTATCAGCACTTTTTTTTAAGCATTGTTTTTCAGAGCTACTGTAACAGACGTTTTGTGGTGTGTAACAGACACTTTGTGGTGAGCACCAGCACTTTTTTTTAGACAAAAACAAAAAGCGCTGACCCAAGTTTATTTTTTTTTTTAAAGTGTAGTAAAAGATTGGTAATGAAAGATATGTCATGCCCAACACAAAGTGTCAGCCACTTCTCTTAGAACAAATAACAAAGAAAAAAATAAGTGTTTTGTTACTCTCCTTTCTGTAAACTACTGACAGTTAACCAGTAACCATTTGATTTAAGACTAGGTCAACACAGATTCAAAAATACAGATAGAAAAACACCTTGACTCCATATTTAGTAAATAAACTTGTGTCTGTGCTAACATAGCTTCAAGCTCATAGACACATCAAGTTTACACTTTTGTTGGGGGGGGGGGGGGGAAGCCTGACTCCATATTTGGTAAATAAATGAACTTGTGACTATGCTACCGTAGATTCAAGCCCACGGACACCTTACCAAGTCAGTTGTAATATTAAATCTGGGTTTGTAGAAAGGATATAGCCTTTTTTTATTAAATAAGACAAGAGCAAACATGTCCTGCACGTATATAAACTATCCATTAGCAGGTGATAAATGTAAAAGTATTCACATCCACTGCAATGTTTAACATTAGAAAACCACTAAAAACCAGCAATTTGTAATTTATGTTGAAGTAAGCCTGATCCCAGATAAATAGGTATTGCTGTAGAGCAGAGCTTTTCAAACTGCTTTTATTTAGTTCATTTAGTATTTTATTATTGTTATTTTAAATTATAACGACATCAATTTCGAAAACATATATTTTCATATAAATGAAAGGTTTTCATAAAATTGGTTGTGTCATGAAACATTTCGTTATAACAGTTTACCTGGCTCTTAAAAGGGATTTGTTCAAACCTCTGGTTTGTTATTAGACTGAATTACTGTATCACAAAACTAAATTTCTTTTCAAAGTGGGTCACCAACATAAAAACTTTTGAAAGCACTGATCAGAGGATGTATGCTGAAGTTGTATTTGTTGGCCAACAGATTTGGCAAGGCTGGCTATAGATAAACAAGCACAGCACAATGAAAATTGTGTCCCCTTTCAAGATGGATAATGAAGCAAAATAAGAAAGAAACTGTTAAATATATGATTTATTGAATTGTATTGTCATCTCAAGAGCTTTAAAAGATTAGAAACTGCAGTATAAAAGTCTAAATCATTATGTTAATATGTCTGTCATATCAGAACTGACAAAGAGAAATTGTAAAACATCTGATTTATTATTTCAGAACTTTGAGTTAGATGTGGAGAAACTGCTACAGAATGTCTGATTTACATATGTTTGTTATTTCAGAGCTTTGAAAAAGATGTGGAGAAACTGCTAGAGGCAAAAGAGTAAAGCAGATTAGTTGTGTGGTCATGTGAGGAACATTGGTAGTAATTAACAATTCACACCTAAAGTTAACTTTGACATAAATCATATTTTATGTCAACAGTTTGCATGACCATAACATTCATTTGATCTGTTAGCAAACCATTCAGCAGTATTCTGTGTTGTGTTTTTTTCATGTATTATTTGACTGTAAAAGCTTATTGCATTCTGTTGTTAAGTAGGGCTCATTGTTTAATGACTGTTGACAGTAAGTTATCAAAAAGAACTACTCCTGTGTTCAAATGGTGAAAATAAAAGTGCCTTTCATGGGTATAATGAAATAGTCAGGTGTATGTGTACATTAGAGTTTATAAGGCTGCTTGAGGCTTCAGATATGTGTTTCTAGAGAAAAATGCTTTAAAAAAAATTCTGGGGCAGCCATCATGAAAAATCAGAGTAATCTGATCTGAGAGGCTAAATAAAAAAAAATGGGAAACATTTTAGAGAGAAAACTAATGGGGGCACAAAACAACTAAATGTTATGTTATCGCAATCACCTTAACTGCACATTAAACATTTTCTTGTGTGCTGTCCTCCAAGGCACCTGTACTGATTATTCCCATGAGGAGCTGGTTCAACATAAGTGCAAAGATTTATGGAAAGAGTCTTTTGTTAAGCCACAGAAAAGTTTCAGCACACAAACTGATGCATGCTGTTAAAGATAACAAGTTGTGGAGAAGTATGACAACCTAAGGCCTGATATGATAATGATGTATTTTAAAAGATCTTAATACAATTTCTAATTGTGTTTTGATAGTGAAACTATTACTGCATTTGTAATAGTTGTTTAAACTGTGTTGTGACAGGAATGAAGATAAGAATTTCTTGCCAATTTTGACATGATTTGAAATGTATACCATTTGAAGCATATACCCAGAGTTTACTAGGTAATTTTAGTAAACATTTTAAACAAATTCCCACAGTGCATTTGTCTTGTATTGGTGAAACATTGTAGGTAACTAATAGGCAAAATCTCTATGCTCCCTTTACCCACAATCACAGATACTAAAACCTCATCTAACTCATGTCCTTTCCAAAACATTTGTGCCCAGACTGTCACTGTTGTTTTCGACACACATTTGTTACTGTCAGCTGCCTGCATTCTTTGATGAATGTCCACTGCCAACATCCTTCAAGTGACAGAATTGAATCACCACTTTTTGGATTGATTTTGGATCAACCCACCGGTTTTATCAACGGTCAGAAACATAATTTGTGCATCCTGGAATTATAATTTTCTATTTAGTGGTCAGAACTTATCACATGATTATGAAAGATCAGGTTAAAAGTGTGCAATGATGGGGGGGGGGGGGGGGGGGGGGGACTCAAACTGGTTTAAAATGAATGCTTCCAATACAAACAGTGACCATAACAAAGCAGTTGTCAGTGCTGAACATTCTTTATCAGTCTTCAGTGGTAGCTTGAGATTTAAAAAAAAAATTATCTATAGTTCTCAACTATAAACAGTCTCTTAACTGATAAAAAAAAATAATTTGATAATAGAAAACCGCTTCACATTATGTAGAGGCTAGCCTGCAGGTCATGGATTCGAATCCCCATCAAGCAAGGATTTTCCCTTAAAAATTGTCTTGGTACTCAGGTCAGCCCAGCCTAAAATAAAATCCAGGAGTCTAAAGGCAGCCAACACGATGCTGATCAAATCACGCACCGAATGTTGATTGGTCTATAATTAAAGGTTTAACACAATATACCCATTACATCTAAAGTCATGGAAAAGGGTCCCTTTAAAAGAGCCTAACTAAACCGACAACATAGTAATGACTGTCAGCAACAACAAACTGCCATTAATTCCTGTATTTATCACCTTTGCTGTAAAAGCAGTTTTTTTTTTTAACCTGAGGATTTAGGGCCGCATAGTCAGAGCGAGCTATCAGCACAGACTGAAGATTAGGATTTTATTTTTGCCTTCAACAGATAAATCCCCAACCCTATTAAGGATTTGTGCCTGGGTCTCACGCATGAGAGCCTTGCATTCTTTACAAATCAGCTAGCAACTAAAGCAACGATTAAGTACCAAAATAATAATATTTGAAAACGAAACACTTTTGGCTTAGGAAGCCACCATGATAAAGCGGCTAGACGCTCGCCTGCGGATCGGGAGGTTGTGGGTTTGGGTCCTGATGATGCTAGATTTTTTTTTTCAAAAATGATCTTGGCTCCCAGGTTGATCCAGCCTTGATTAGGTACCAGGGGGTATAGTTCCCTGGGAAGTAAAGGTGGTCAGCATGATGCCAACCACATCACCCACCATGTGTCCATTGGTCTATAAAATATATATATTTTATTTTAACAACCAAACTGCAATGAAAAACACATTTCAATACAACTGGTTTAATAGTCCACAGAATACATGTTTATACAAGAACGATTTCAAACCAGCATCCTCAACAGTCTTTTAGTCTTCAAAGCTCTCCAGTACACCTGAAAAGAGAGGTCACAAACAGTGTTACTGTGGTAATGACAGTTCTAAAATGCAAATGGGTTTCTTTATTTTTTTTAAATCTCTGTGAAGCATAGACTTTCAGTTAACTAACCAGACACCCTTTGTAGACATGACTGGTTGGATTTTTAAGGTTTTCTATAGATTAAGACAGCTAGTCTCATAACCAAATTTCCTTTCCTGCTATGGTAGGTTACAGCATTACTTTACCTTGCTTCAAGTACAGGCCCTGCTAATACTTTAGCAAAATGGTTCATTAACACACACAAATAATTAATAGCCATAAAAAATATGCTACTTCCTAAGCCTTTGTTTTTAAAGTACTTTGGAGTTCCCAGGGGATATGGTCAGCCCTCAAACCTTTAGAGAAAGGTGAGACGGATGTACAAATCTGACCGTTACTGGCTCGTCGCTTGCTACTAAAGATAGGGTTTTATGGGAGTGTCTCGGGTGATGTGATGTTGATTCTTAATTTAATGTTCTGTAGATATGAAGTTCCAATACTGGTCTAGCACAATCTAAATTAGCTCTTTGTGTGGACAGATAAAAAAAAAGTCGAGGACCTTTCCCATACCAAATGGCACATCAGGGATATGCTGCTAGACTCTTATTTTGTACAGGCCAATCTTGATGGGTCATGTGGGTTAACACAATGCAGGCCATTTTATATCCCCTGTGTTGACCTGGGAACCCGAGTAAATTATAAATATATGTGGTAATGCAGACTTGAACCAAATACTTTTGCGCCAGTAGGTGAAAGTCTAGCCACTGCACAGTTCCTGATAACAAGGAGAGATAAATTTGAGTGTTACTGTCTGTTTTGTATTTAAGCGGAAAGGATTCATATCTAGTTTTATTTCGCTGTTTTTTTTTTTTGTAGTATGTAGTGACAGGGAAACAGTGAGAAAAAAAGGCGTTAAATTCTGCAGTTGCAGTTTTTATTTGTGTAGATCTTCGTTGTTCAAATTTACAAAAGGAAAACTTTTGCTTTCATTTTTTTTTAAAGCATTGGCTTATTAGCAGTCGTTTAACATATCTAAAGAAATCAGGAAAGGACTTCATGGTATTAGGGAAGGAAACAAATATATTTCTTACCTTCTAAGAAGGAATAATTGTCTTTTGTTTCAAAGACATCATCTGCAAATTATAAAAGTTGTCAAAATAAGTTCCTATGAAAGTAAACTATAATTTGTGTAATAATAGTAATTTATGACGGCCTATTGAAAGCCAAAAAAAATATAGAAAAACAACCAAATGAAAGAAGGCTCTTCTTCAAGAAGTAAAACATGGTTGGGGGAAGCCATAAGAAGTCAGGAATTACCTCCTTTTCCCATAACCCTCTTTAGAACTGGCACCTTTAATCTTAGAACTATGTATATATTTGGAGTCTGCATCTGTCGCTCAGGCATTGCGAATGTGCTTTGTAATGCCAGGGTGCCAGGTTCGATCCCAGCTGGGAGCCAATCATCTTGCGTTGGTTTCGACAGTGGTATCGGGAAGTCGACTGCCCAGAAAGCAATAGCAAATTACCGGACATAAACTTGCCTTAAAATACCACAACAGCCCTCAAAAATGCTGGGGTTCTGCAACGTCCTGTAAGGGATACACAACTTTAAAAAAAAGGAAATTAAATATTACATTAGCATTGTGTGATTATGCAAAACAAGACAGGATGGATGTAGGTAAAGACTGGTCTAAACACTGATGAAACAGTGCTGTCCTCAAGCCAGCTCTTGGAGGAAAATGCCTAATCTGCTATCTAAAAAGACGGAGAAGTGACTGACGGAACATGAAATGAGTTGTAAAAGTAAAAGCAGCAACATTTAAAATCATAGACAAGAAAATAAACAGGAATGTGATCCAGTGTAACACATCATCAAATGATAAAGTTGCATCAGGCAGAATTTTCACCTGAAACTTCAAAGTATTACAGGTAATGTCATTACTGCCTGTATTTACCACCTGTTGCAGTGAGAAGGGCAGGGGCATCTCTGGACCTGAGGAACTAGGGCAGCATGGCTAATGCAGCCACCACAGATTGTGAAGGTCAGGATTTTATTTTCGCTCTGTCAGAAAATTCATTACCTCACTCAGGATTCGAACCAGGATCTCAACTCTTCTGTTTGTTTTAAAGAATAGACATCAACATTTTGACAGGTGACTTAAATGCTATGACAGGCTAGAGTAATATGAGTTACAAAGAGATCACCTGGATACATGGATTTGCGTTAATGAATTCGATAACTTTACGCCCAGAATTAGCGTCACAAGTGTGGGTACAACTGAGGCAAATTAAATTAAATTTAGATCATCTCTTCATAAAGGTTCAAATGCTTGCTTTAAAACACAAATTTGCAAGCTGGCCACAAGTATTAATCATTGATACTGAACACCAAAAGAGATCTTTCACTCTCATGTATGTGCATTTAAAAACCTCAAAATATCAACAGCCTCTAGATTTAACACAAATGTTACAATTCAATGTATTATAATAATGGGCTAATCAAAAGTAACATACCTAAATGTTTTCTTAATACAATTTTCCGTTTCTCACGGATTGTTCTCATAGCTGCTTCCCTGGCCAGTCCTTGAATGAAAAGCTCCTGCAAAACAAACAATAACATAACAATGAACAAAAAGAACCACAGAAACCTGTATTTAGCATATATGATACTGTTTAGGTTTTTCTGTCTGTAAAACTAAATATCCTAATCTGCACAGTTCGTGACGACAGCTCTAGCCAGGTGGTCCTATATCCTCAGGCTTAAGGCCCCCTTTCTTCGTCCCCCTACAAAGTGGTAAAACAGACAGTAGTGATGGTTTATTATAGTGTTTTGATCTTTAAGTGACAAAGCTAGTATTGAGCCGTTTTACTGTATATATATAACTAATTACTCATATAAGAAAAACGCCACCTAAATTTATTTTGTGCATGTCATGAAAATAGCAACACTGGAGGGGAAAAGAGACAGATGGAAACCAAGAGAGGATTTTGGACAGTCTGGTAGCATGTCATGGACTAACAGCTGTACCAGAAATGACTGACAGGGTGGAGACAGAAGACTGATTACCACCACAATGTGGCATAGATTAATTTAAAAGGTTATATTTCTGCGGAACTAGTATTACTTGAAACTTATTTCATCTCGCTCCTCTTGTGGCAACAAACTGAAGTATAATCAGCAGATATCATTCAGTAAATGCCAGGGTTGCTCTATAATGTCTTGCAAAAGATATAGTCGAGTCTGGATAAGCAGAAGCCACAGGGACCTAAGAAGTAGCAGGCAGACTCCCAAGTATGTACTGTAGGATTGCCCTAAATACTCCTGGCAAAGGTTGAGGGTCTGGCCTAATGGAGCTACATTACAATACAAGCTGGGTGGGACCACGTGTGACCTTAGAAGTACCATCCTGTCTGGGTTGTGACCCTGGTGGGAACTGAATGGTTAGCATAGCATCACTAATCATTTCTTCTTCTTCTTCTCCAACTTTCCGCCAGAGTGCACAGCTGGTGAACGCGAAGAAGAAGAAGCTAATCATTTGATGTCAAAAAGGGGAAGAGTAGTCCCGTGGCGTTTGTCGCCGGTCAGGGTGCCAATACTTTAAAAGTTAAAAGATATGAGTATTATGAGAATGTTTGACAGCGACTAATAAACTTCGAAGTCACCGTTTAAATTAAATAAAAAATAAATAAATAATACGACATATAACTTCGTCTCACCGCAGCTTTTGCTAATGTGATAACCGCATCTTGACTTGCAATTTTAACGTCTGGATCTGTCTTCATGATGCTTCTTATACGAGTAAGCGGCAATTTGATGAGCTTCTCTTGAGGCTCAGTTTCGGCATCCCTGCGTTCTGCCTCTGATTCTTGTTGTGAAACCCTTGAGTGTTCGCTTTCAGCCGATGGTACAACGACTTCATTAACATCGAGCTGTAGAGAGTCGTCCATATCTTCTAATCCCGCCATTGTGTCTGTATGTATACACTGGAGACCACATAGGAATCCAAAATTATACTTGAAAGCCAAAAGAGCTGCTTCCGGCTATACTTTAACTCCTTTTCCACAAATGAGTTGGGTTCAAAATCGCAACAATCGATCAATTAGGTACCGTCTCCATAATGACAGTTTGTTGCAATCAGGTGGTGCACGGAAACCTGGATTTTATGTATTGTCCCATTTCTCTCCCCCCCCCCCGCAACCTTACATTTTGTTGATGGAAGCTCTCTCTTTCTAATCTGTCAGGGGGCTAAGCTGCCCACCCTTTACCAGTTCTTGCTTGGGCTCGACTTATTAATTTGTGTAACAGTCATACAGTAAGAGAGAAGCATCGTGTCACGAGACCCTTGTTTTTACCTGATTTCATATTTTAGCACACATAGAGGCCGATCCATCCATCTATCTACAATTCCATCCATGCACGACGACAACTTATCACAAACATCAGAAAGAGACAGTCATTATTTTTTATCATGTTATGTGAAGAGCGAAAATGGAACATGTTACCACTGAAAATATATGCGGAAAGAGAGACAGAGGAAGACAGCGTGAAAAGATTCATGACAGTCTTTTGTCATGGTATGGAGGGATGTCAGCACACGAACTGATACACGCAGTTGCAGACTGTGGAGAGGCATGATCGCCCACGACAGTCGGCAAGGCACTTGATGATGACGATGATGATACATAGCTGTGATATTGTCTAGCAATTGTCCATTTACGCTATACTGTTCAAGCAATGACCATAGCTTGTCTTGGTTTACCCGGTCTAAGGGTGATAAATATTACGATTTAAATATAAGACCTTCGGACAAGCGTCTAGCGTCTTTCAAAACATTTGGGCTGCTCTTCTTAGCTGTCCAAGGAGTTCTAAGGATTCTTCTGTAAAACCACATCTCTAATGCCTCAAGATATTGTTCGGCCTGTTTATTAATTGTCCAGGATTCACAGCTGTATGTTAAAACTGGCTTGTCGCTATCAAGACGGTGTCACCAGCATAACGCAGGTTATTTATGTTTTGACCACCAACCAGTTCCTGACATATCCATGATGGATCTTATTATATATTCACTGTATAATGACAACAAATCAGGTGATAACACATCCTTGTTTTACTGCCCTCTTTATATTTTGAAATGTTCCAAAATTGTTATTATAACTCTTATAGCTGCTGTTTGCTGCCAATAGATGTTTTTTATAATTCGTAATTCTGTTAAATCAATGTTTAGCTCTTCCAGTAGTTTGACTATTTCCTCATGTTTCACACAGACAATTGCTTTCATATAGCCAATGAAGCTAAGTAAAGATCTTTTTTTACTTCTATAGCTTTTCCGAAAGAGTCCTGAGGATTATATAGTAATGTTTGTACCTTTTGATTCCACATATACACATACGTGTATTGCACATATCACTTACATATTAACTGTGCATTCAAAATAAAATCTTCACAATGTACTACTCTATTAAAGTATGTCACTTGTTTATAAGCTATATATCAACTAACAGTATAATTATATGTTGTAGTAGTCGACTAATAGTAATTTTATTCCTCATTCATTTATAATAATTTTATGTATTATATGTGTATGTTGCAGAGCAGTTGCAGTTGAGTGTGTTATTTTAATAAGCCCCCTCCACCCCCCCCCCCCTTTTTTTTTCCCACTTCCCAAACCGAGTCCGCTAATACAAATACTCTCTCGGAATCAAAGAGTTATGACTAATTGTCTTTACTTTTGCTCGAATAACTTCAGTTTGTTGCTATGCGTTATTGATATGTGTGTTCATGTTGACTTTAATGTAGCACCGAGCCTTTATCTCTGCTCATTTCTTTTCTTTTTTTTTTTTATGTTTATCTCCTTTCATTTATTACTAAGGGCAATAACCAGCTAAACTGTGAATACTTTAGTCTATGGAGTTGTCATCCTGCTTTTCAATTTAAATGCCAGATGCATTTTATTCGTCAGTCGAACGCAAACATAAGTAACAGAATACAGGCTCTTTGTAACAAATAAATCAAAACTGCAGAAATACTTGACATCTTTCCATATTGCATTGTACAAATGATTAAGCGTAATTTCCGATATAAATAAGCAGATTTAGTCGTAACCAAACGAGCAGCGCTTACTATTCCTTACGTCCTTCTTAGGACGTTATTTTTTGTTATTTGAAGCCCCACTCTGGCTTTTGCCAGGGGCCGCAATATAGGCAGGTCATCATTATGGCCAAATGTCTGAACGCGGTTTCTGGGACCTCTCCACGGTGATCCTCATCCGCATGGTGGCACTTTGTGTCATCGGGTGTTTATCGCTTGTGTGATGTCCTGGTGGGGTAAAAAGCCAATCCAGCAGCGCTTAAACTACTCCACCATTATTGGCGTTCTTTGTTATTTGAAGCCCCATTCTGACTTTTGCCAGGGGCCGCAATATAGGCAGGCCATCAATATGGCCAATTGTCTGAACGCGGTTTCTGGGACATCTCCACGGCGATCCTCATCCACGTGGTGGCACTTTGTGTCATCTGGTGTTTATCGCTTGTGTGATGTCCTAGTGGGGTAGAAAGTCAGTCAGTCAGTCTTACAGTGAACAACTTTTTTTTCCGCCGGGCCAGTCTCTCCTCACGGGGAAACCACCCGGCTCGGAGTTTGAATGGCTCATGCCGTGATAATTATTCCCATGAGTTCGGGACCGATCCCGGGCTCTTTTGGCCAGACCAGTGCAGCAGAGCTACACTTTGATCTTAGCCAAAAGGCCGAGAAAACAACTTTAATTTTTCGAAGGGAGGTTGTAACCAGCCCGGCAAGCTGTTACAGCTCTTAATGTTCTAAATATATAAACAGTTAGCGGATGTCCTAGAGACGCCAGCTCATAAATACTTTATCCTATAAGTACATGCTATGTATCATAGGTGGTAGTTTCGTGTACTTTCAATCACTTGTGGCACAGATGATCTTTAACACGTCAGTGTAATTCTCGGGAGAACAGGTGTCTGCCAATTAAGTTGTCCAAACATCGGTCAAGGCCGTTCACCTTGAGTGACAGGCCACTTGATAGCTAGATTGATCTGCTAGGTACCTCAGAGGCGTGGCAAAGGTCATCTCCTTGAGGGTTGGGTAGAACCGAGTAAAGGGAGGAGTTTAACCTTTGAGACAGTTAGATTGTATACTTCGTGCCTTTGGAATTCCCGTCACATCGCAGCTAGCAAGCAACAAACACAGATCGACGTACAGGTAATTTTACGGTCGGATTCTGGTTTGGCGATTGATGGAAAGTTCCCAGGTAAATATTAATTTTAATCTTGTATACATAGGTTAGGGAGTTAAGCTTAGTCTATACTACCTTTTCCTAATTTGTCTGCACATTCTGCTTGAAATAGTTCTTTGTGAGTATTCAGTATCTCAAGTTAGGGAACTGCTAAACTATTCCTATTTCTTGTATGTTGGTGTCACATGTTTTTCAGTGTATGTTTTCATGTGTATAAAATAAGATGTGAACAATGACATTTGCTATAATGAAATGTAATTATATTGTTTCCGTGATCAACTCAAAACATGTGCTTGGACTGTGGGAAATCATGCCCATATGCGCAGAGTTTAAATAGCTCACCATGTGCACTGGAAAGACAAGATTCCAGACACCATGCACATATAACATGGGTGGAGTTTTCAGCACATAACCTGCTCCACTTGTTAATGTAAAAACAATGTTTGAAGTCTGAGTGAAGACGGACAACAGACTTAGAAAGTCAACTATCATGACATAGCATGAGGGGGAAGGCAGGATATGTGACGTCCATGTAAGACAAAAGACCTTCAGACTAGACTGGAGAGAATGTGGAATATGAGGAGGAGTGATGGATATATTTGGTTATTATATGTTATATTAATTGATACATGTATTCTTAGTGTAAGTCAAGATACTACACGTATGTGTTTGTTTCCATGATTACAGCGCCCATGTGACGATCAGTCCATGAAGGAGACTACATTGTGTTAGACTCGGCCAGCTGGGAACGAGGTGGAGAACGAGGTGGGGATGAAGTGGAGACTAAGCTGAAACAGGCAGAAAACAAGCAGGGAAGAAGCTAGAAGAGGAGGAAGAGCTTGACAGTGCTCACGGCTGTCAGAGGTTCTATGATAACTAAGTTATGTCATAAATTGTTCATACGTTATCACCTTCACCACTCCATTCTAATCCCAGGTGCTGGTTTCTCGCCGAAGCAACTCATCACTATCATAACATTGACCAGTCACTGTTTGTGTAAACACAACAAACTGGGAAACTTTATTTAAATGATTGTTAGTAAATAAATCTGTATGTCAAGTTTTATACTACATCGTTTGTTAAATTCCAAGTGTATTCAGTTTTACCTGTTTAACTAAAACTTATAGATAGAATTACATTTGGTGGGGGCTCAAATAATATGATAATAATTCTTTAATTATTAATAATAATACCGGGAGAAGGTACGACGGAGGAATCATTTGCGCTGTCTAATAATTCATTCAGCATAATGATATAGACATCTAAAATTCCTTTCCTTCTCTTGTGGGTACCAAGTACAGCTAATGTTAATGTACTTAACGAGCCAATATGACTGTTTTTCTTGGATATCCAGGACTTTGTCTGAGAGCAACATAGCTCGGATTTTAGTTCCGTTAATCTGGTGGAGGGAATGTGTTGAGAGGAAAATCCCTACTCAACTTTTAAAACATTAAACCCACCGCGTCACGACAGTAGTTTCGTGTACTTTCAATCACTTGTGGCACAGATGATCCATAATTTTAAACTGTCCAAAGTTCTCTCTCAACCCCCCTCTGCCTCTCCTCCCCTCCAAATTACCCACCGTCACGATGTACTCTAGTTTTCTCCTTCTCATGACATGACCGAAGATTGTAGATTGTCTCCTTCTGATGTGGGCAATCAGTTCTCTTCCTGAGTAAGTTTCTGTCGAGACATCTTCATTACTGTTTT